ATATATATATATAATATTATTCTTTTTCTTACATAATATTTCTAAGCTGATAATCAAAGACTAATTTATGTTTTAACATATATGTTTTATCGGTCAAACATTATTTTAAGAGGCTTGATTTAATATTTTAGTTATGTTAGAGTAAGATAGACTACTTGATAATTCATATTAAATATTAAAGATAAGAGAAATTCTATAGTACTCGCATAAATTTGATGGATTTTGAAACCGTCAATTTTTAAAATTAATAATAATTAAATTTTTATTTAATTTTTTGTCATGTTATAGTTTTGCACTTGTATGAAGTAGTTGATTAAAAGTATCCTAGATATTTGAAATTAGTGAACAAACAAAATAGAAATTAGACCTCCCACCTTTTATTAGATTAAATTAGTATTGCAAATATTTTTCACTTTATATTTCATAGTTCTTAAATTATATTTTTACACTTTTATTGAATAACTAATATGGTATAAGAATGTGATTCAAATATAAAGAGAAAAATCATATGAATGTGAAGCATGTAACTCAATGACGACAAAAGGAATTGGGCCAAAATACCTCAATTTATAAGGGCACCATAGAAACACCTAATGATAATTCATGTTATTAAATATATAAATATTGAACATTTTTAATTAATAATTTTAAGAAATTTGTATAAGGAAAATAGTTATGAAAAAACATTCGGTAAAAAAAAGTTTTATGTAAAAAGAAAATTAAATATATTTATGAGGAGGGATCCGTTTACTTCAAAAGTATGTCTACCTTACTTCGTTCAATAACTCATGTTTTACATCATATTTTAATGATCATGAATTTAAAGTTATTAATGCTTAAATTAAATCTGTAAATTTTTTAAAATTTTGAAAACTATTTGATACTTCATTTAATTAATTTAAATTGAAGGATAATCATAAAATTATTTTATATATTGATTTGAATTAATGAAATGAAGTATCAAATGATTTTTAAATTTTTTAAAAATTTATAAATTTGATCTATGCATTAAGAACTTTAAATTCAACAGTTGGATCGTGGTAGAACATGAGTTATTAAACGAAGTAAGTCTAAATAGACTTATTCCTGAAGAAAATGGATTCCTCCTCTATATTTATTTTTTTCAAACGGCATAAGATAATTTTTTTATAAAATTAAAACTTATAATGAATAAATGTTTTCAAATATATAAAATGTTTTATATTTATAATGAACATTTTATATTGTGAGATAAGGCATTTCAATTTAGAATATAGATAAAAGATGATAAATTAAAAGAAATAGATATGATTAAAAATATTAAAATATACAAATAAAGATAAAAATGATGATTTGATATGGTTTAGGGAAAAATATATTATTAATTGCACGGGTACTATGTGAAATACGAATTCAAATAAAAGTATAAAAGAATATTGAGAATTTCTAATCGAAAGGATGAGAGTCCCACTCTTCAAGTTGTATAATCTAATATACTCCACATTGGAAATTGCGACTTCTTTCTTTGTTTTATCAATTAGACATTTTAATATTCTATTTTGAGAAATTAAAAAATCACAATTCAACACTTTTCTTGTGTGTACCTATGTTTTACGATGTGAATACCATTTTTTTAATTATAAGTTCATTAGAGTTTTTAGTGACATGTGAAAGTGATGATTAACTTTTGTAACTTGGAGTTTTGAAAAAATGGATGTGCAAAAATATTTTCTATTATGTCTTATTTTGTTAAAATAATGTTGGGATACTAGAGAAAACTAAATATTATTCTTGACTTGAATATAAAAATAATTGATATATACGATTAGTACAATTTTTTTTAGTTATAAGTATTTTCATTATTTGAAAATAATGTTTGTTATATAAGGGGTGATAAAATTAGTTAAGTTTGTTAGGTTGGTATGTTGGATCTACTAGTTTTGTTGAACAAGAAAATTTTAATTATTTACATACATAGTCTATTTTATTTTGGTCCATTCAAGAAAAGTTAATAATTAAGGATGATAATATGGATTGAAACAGGTGAATCAGTTCTCTAACTTATTTTTTTTATATATAAATACTTATTCTCATTTTATGGAAAATTCAACTATATTATTTTAGTTATATATTTTTTATTAGTACATTTTCGTGTATAATATCTTTTTTTAAGAGTATATTTTTTGGGCATTTTTTTAGTTGCATTTGTTTAAATTAGAGTTCATTAACTTATAATTTAATTATAGAAATATATATCTTTTTGTATGAAAATATAACTCCTCTAATAAATTTAACAAGCGATAATAATTTTTAAGAATTTAGATGGATTTTTTTATTGATCAACTCACTAATCCACATTTTTAATTACTAATTCACTAAAGTGGATCAATCCGTTAACTTATTTTTAAGTGGAGTGGTACATTTCTTTTGTGGATCAAGTTGTCTCATTCACTTTAGATGAGTTATCCACTTTACCACACTTATTAAGAATAAGTTGAAAAAGTTATATACATTGACTATTTAATTTTAATAAAGTTGTTTATGAAGAATTGAAAATGAGAATACAATAATATTTCTTATTGTCATGTTATTACGTGCATGTAACATAACAATTATCACTTTCAAAATCTATCAATTGATACAATTACATGTGTGGAAAAGATTGAATTACAATTTTAGGTTAAAAATAAACAAAATTAAAAGTACTAATTAGGTTGTTATTATTTTAAATAAATATTTTTGTTAAATAATTATATATATATATATATATATATATATTTTTTTTTTATATATATAGAAATATAATATTATTTTATGCATAGCATGACATTAGTTATTATATATATATATATTTCACATCTTATTTACCTATTATTTTATATTTTAATAAATAGTAGTAAGATATTTCTTACATATTTAAAAATTATACCACTTTTACAAAATAAAAAAAAATTGGCAGATACGGCATAGGGCCCATATGTAGTTATTTGTGTCTGAATTTGATAATAAGTCGGTTAATATGACAGTGATTGAAAGTAGATCCTCTTGTTTTCATATAATTATCCTGAAAGCTATATTTTGTTAGTCCTCATATCCTTTGCATTTTCCCCTAAGGAATCATTGCTTGTGCCTCTATAGTTCTAATTTGTCAAATGTGTTGACAAAAGGCCCTTCTAGTGCTTTTGGCACTCGAATAGTTTTGACTCGTTTGATTCAACATCTACAAGTTGGGTTGGTGCGTTTCCCCAGTTATGGCCTTCTGTAACAAATAAATAATCCAAAAGGAAACATATAATAGCTACCCCTTTGAGCATTTATTTTAATTTGCATATATATGTATATTCAATAATTCCACCTAGCTTCAAAAGTTCATATATATATATTTCTGGTGTCATTTGAAAAAGGGTGTAAGAACTTTCTTTCATCTTTTGATTTTGTCTTCACAACGGAAACAGTAAGATTAGATGCGAAGGCACAATATCACATGGCTTCCACATTGAGAGGCATCATCATCATTCATCTTGAACCCACTATGACTATATGAACTTAGTGGGTTATCTGTATATAGATTACATATCCTATGCAGGCACACTCTCTAGCTTTTAAGAGGCCATACTCATTCCCTTCCTATATATCACTTGTCGCATCACATGCATGCTTTGAATATATTTTAGGTAAAAAGCTAGCTTATGCTCCTACGGAGGCTATGCACCTCTCCACCTGGCAATTAGGACTAATTCTCCTCATAACTAAAAAAGGTAGTCATGACATTATATTTTCATATTTTAAAATATATATTATATTTGTTTTAATTTATATGAATGAAATATCATATAATTTTGAATTAATATATAAATTTGTATATAAAATCTAGGAGAAAGAAATTATCAATGTAACAATAAATTTGGAAAAATAATTATTCAATTATTATTAAACAGTATAATAGTTAATAAAAATTATATTGGTGTAATTTGAACACTCACTAATTATTCAATTCTTGCAAAAGAAAAATATATCATTCACCAATTTTTTTATCCTTATTTTTTATTCTAGTTCTTATAATAATATTTTTTTTTCATTTTTGTCTTCGTAACATATGTATATTTCACTAGAAATAATTAAAAATAAACTAAATATTAAATGAAAAATAGATATATTTCAGGAACTTAAATAATAAGGTTCAAAGTGAAAAGAAATATAAGACCTTATATATATATATT